AGCTTACCACAATTTTCTTGAACTTTCAAAAATGCTCAACACCAAGATCAATGATGGTTCCACACTATTTCCATCACAACCAATATCTTTCCTACCTACAATGGCAAGGATTTAAGCATTAATGTCAATATTTATGTCCCAAATTTTGAAATCCCCAATTTACTCACAAAGCCTTAGCACCCACTCATGAAATCCATCAATGTTAATGAAAGTCAATGGCCCCCTTACCTTACAAACCCTAAGGCACTTGAAAAGAGTGATTCCTATGATCCAAAAGCAAGAAAATCACCTCCAAAGTTCCACCTCTCCAAGGGCCACAAAAATGGTTCTTCAAATCTCAAGGAATGGCTTTCTCCGCTTCTTTTTTCCTAGCTTTTGGGTGATAGAACTTGGGTCTCTTTGATGGAGTCAAGTGAAAGTGGGGATCTCAAGCTCTAAGCTCAAAGAAGAAAAATTGCTACAATGGAGGGGAGATGGGAGTGGTCTGACAGGAAGAAGGAGAAAAAGAGGGAGAATGGTGGAGAAAAGATAGCTTCGGGTTTTTGTGAAAATATTCCAAGTGGGAATTTATCATTTTGCCCCTTAGTTCTTTCCTTTTTTACATAGTATCATCCCAACAATCTAGTTGGGCTTCTCTCCTTGTTTAGTTAATCCTTAGGGACATGTTACTTATTTGATTTATTTTAGGTCATTCAATTTACATATATCCATATTTAACCCTATACTCTCATTAATTACACTTTTACCCCAAAAATGATTTAATTCATAATTAGTCTTTCCAACTAATTTAACCCTCGAATTACACATTAATTCTCTAATTATACATTAACCCAATAATCAATGTAAAATAATTGTTAGGGTTATTACATTCCACCATAACCCTTTTTGGGGTAATGGTTATTGTTTGAATGATTAAGTGGATTGTTAGATTATGGTGTAATGTGCATTCATATAGAGTCGTTGTTTGTTAGTGCGTGATCCACTAAACAAGCACTAGAGGTTGGATGTGTGATATGATGTGCTTACACATATAGCCATGGAATCATGAATTGATTGGTTAAGATTCATTAGTCAAAAGAATATAGTATGGACTTTTTCTTGGAGGGATGTATCCGAAGAGGTTTTACTCTTAGGAGTTCCATACAGAAACTTATTAAATGTATGATTCATTGGGTGGTCCTAGTGTACTGGGTACATGGAGGGCGTTCGAGGCTGGGTAGGTTTATTGGCCAAAAGAATATGGCATGGGCTTCTGTTTGGAGAATTATCCTAAGAGGTCAAACTCTTGGAAGTACCATGTTGATACGTGTTTGAGTGAGGACTCGTTAAGTGGTCCTAATACACTGGGAGTACAGATTGATCAACACTAGGTTACCTCATTATATCATGTTATATTATACCATGTTATTCTAACCTTTCATGTAGACAAGTCAACTTAAAGGCGAAGTGATCTCCAAGGGCTCTTAGTTTACTGAGATTGTATCTCACCTCGTGTGGGGATATATTTCAGATCATTATGCCGGACAAGCTAGCACTACTAGACAAAAATGGGATACCTGGCAGGAGTGGACTTCTGGGCCTCTTAGGATTGGGGGTCCAATTGTTAATCCATTGCAGCCGTAGTATGATTAGTGTAATTAAAAAATATTTCCTTAATCTCCACTTAGCTGTTAGTCCTATTTGGGCCTTCTAGAATGTGGGCCCTTGTCAAGTTCATAACAATGACCATACAAAAGTGAGTGAAAGTATTAAATGCGGGGAATCATAATCAATCTACGATGTAAGATTTATTGTTAGACGTCCAGTAGCTGCATAAATGATTTTACCTATATATATGTTGTTTTTTCTTTCTCGTACATACTATTCATTAAAAATACATGTTGTAAATCATGTTATTCGAATTTTAAAATAAGAATAAAATAAATTCTTTATTTATTCATTAAATACACACATTATAAAATATGTTATCAAATATATATTTTTCTTCAAAAACTCTTCTTGAACATAGAATTAGAAAAACAATTTCTCTCATAAGATATGATGGGAGAATAAAATGATTTTTATGGACATTTGTAAACATGGTTTACACTCCTATGGTGTTGTTCCACTCTTTCTACATTGTTGTTGGACAAAACCAGCATATTAGTGCAATTTTAAAAAAATTACCAAAATAATTCACATTTTAAACACATAACAAAATTAATACAGTTGATCCAGCACATTGATCAGACGTGTTTGATTCCATAAATCAGCCATGCAGAACATACAATTATCTTACACACCAGTCATATGGGACTTGCTGTTGTTGTAGACCGGCAAGTCTTGCATGGTTGACATGCAAGACTAATCTCATACGGTCGTGTATAATACTTATTAGTATAAGGCACGCGACACGATTGTAGCTGTACAATACCCAAACTCTCATTCAAAATAGTCTTACATAAAATATATGTCATGTTTTTCTTGCACGTTTATGATATATGAAATGTTGTGAGCGTGACAATCCCACATTTGAAAGGTGCGGGATTAATCTCTATGCATTTCATATTGAAATGAGACTAACTGTTTGTTTTAGAGTTATATTCATTATCATTTTAGGCTTACTATTCTTACTACTTGTTTATTTATCATTGGATCAATTTCAAATTAACGGTTAAAAAAGTAAAAAATTAATTGCTATTAATTTTGAATAATTTAATAATAACTAAACAAATAATAAGAGTGGTAAATCTAAAATGATAATGTATATCTTTTAAAATGCATTAGTATGATGACTTTGCCATGGAGTCAAGACCAATTGCGATAAATCAATGCATATCGTTAATGAGATGTGGAATTAGGAGTGTTATTTGAGAGTAATATTTCTCTAGCCACTTGAGATAAATTTATCTCCAGCCACCCCTTGTAACTATATACTTTAGGAAATACATAGCTATAATATTAAAGTTATTTTTTTCCCTCTCTTTAAAAACTTTTTAAAAACTTGTCGGCTGATGTGGAGAGAGAGAGAAAAAATTCACTTGAATATTATAGCTATATATTACCCGGAATACATTGTTATAAGGGGTGGCTAGAGATAAGCTTATCTCAAGTGGTTAGAGAAATATTTTTACCTATATAATTAGCATTTTTTTTGAATAAAACATGTTAAAAATGTTTGTTTATGTAAGTAAGAAGTCACTGTGCAACCCCCAAGGTTAGCTTAGTTGACAAAGCTGAGTGCTCAAGAGTTTGCTTTGATCAGGTTTAAACATTGACCAAAACAAATTTTTGGAATTCTTTGGAGGTTAGAGGGAATCGGCTCCCTCTCAATGAGAGTTTAGTTTCACTCTTCCTTCAGTGATAGTGGTTTAATGTACCATCTGTTTCAATGAGGAGTTAGTCTTAGGGACATACTCTGATATCAAAATGGCCAGAGGAGGTTGAGTGAGAATACCTCAAGGATATCTTAAAAAAAAGTCAATCTCCATCAATAAGTGTTTGTGGATGAACAATGGAGGACATTGAAGACATGGTTTCGATAAAGATCAATGTTTGTTATGTTGTAGGAAATAATGTTATCTCTTACATACAAATAAAAGTATACAGAGCCCATACAGAGCCACATGAAGAGAATATAGAGAAAATAAAATATGGTCCCATATATTTTTATGTGTGTAAGAGATTAAATTATCTACTATAATTATGGGTGTTCATCAATCGATCCAAACCCCGTGAGTCCGTGACCTTATGTGTGTAAGAGATTAAATTATCTACTATAATTATGGGTGATCATCAATCGATCCAAACCCCGTGACCGAATTGAAAAATCGATAATCGAATTAACTGAAAAGTGAGGTTAAAAAATCCTTGGTTGGTGAAAATCGATCCAATGTATTGTGTATTTTTGAAAGACGATGACTTGAAATCTTGTTATTTTGTAAACCTTGAATATTGGATGTTATTGATAGCATATTTTGTTTTAGCTTTTTATTGTCTATTAATCTATTTTAATTCTCTAGGAGCTTTAAAATTTATTTTAATTTGAAGACTTGAATTGTTCAGTGATTTATAATTTTAAATGACTTATTTTGATATAAATTTATCACGATTTTACCTACCATTTTTTCGATTAACAATCAGTTAATTTCTATTTTAAAATCGATCAAATCCATATCACAAATACGCTTATTATAACATGACAAATATTAATTACTTAAAAGAATTAATTTCGCCATCGGAGAAGGAGGAAAATGCGAGGTGCGATGTGAGGAGTAAAAGAGCATAAAGGAAAAGGAAAGGACATGGTTGAGAATAGAGAAAAGGAAGAGGGAGAAAAGTGTGAAAGAAAGGATGGCGTGCTTTCTCGGCATGAACATAAACATAAACATAAAGTCTCATAAAGGAGACCTCTGAGCCACCCTGTCACATAGTCCCCTACTCCCTACACAAAACCCACTGTTATAACAACGCTACATTACATTACCCCAAACGCAACACACACTCTCTCTCTCTAACTTTCCCTCTCTCTCTCTCTAATTTTATTTTTCTTTATCCTGCAAAGTTCAGAGGAAGGAGGTTGGAGAGACAAGTGCGTCAGAGCCTGTAAACGATCATCATTCATGTCGCAGATAAAGTGTGTTGATTCAGAATTATGGAAAGAGAGAAGAAGAAGAACAAGAGAAACAGACCCACGCCCTTCTCTCTTTTGAGATTTGCGCCCCAACCAAGATCTTCACCGGATCAACCATGATTTTAATGCAAAGGCGGCGACCCCTTCATCTCTCTCTCTCCCCTCATTCTTCATTCACTTCATTTTCTCTTTAAATTGTTTCTGACGCCATTTCTTTCTCTCTCTAACGCCATTTTTCTCCGTGCACAAACCACTTTGCTACAGAAAATAAATAAACCCGCATTGAATTGAACTCCATCTGATAACACGCTTTCTTTCCTTTTTTCTTCTACTCTCTCTCTCTCTCTCTCTCTCTCTCTGAAGCAAGTGTCATCATCATCATCATCATCTTCAATGCCCATCGTGAATGCATTCGAAAAAAGTCAAGTTTTTTATGTGAAGCGTGGAGGTTTTAGATGGTGTATTCTTCTGGGGAGCCTCTACGTAACAGAGCTTCGTGAAGCGCAAGTATCATAAATAGTACTCTCTACACACACGGGGTTCATTGGAGAGATTATTTTCGTTTTGTGTTGTTCGTGTGGCTGACTTCGGAGGAAACGGAGGCCTGGCTTGTCGTTTTGCCTGAAAGTTGTGTTTTTTTTTTTGTGTGGTAATTTTTTGGTTTGGTTCGAAGGAGAAAAAAGAAAATGAAGTTTATGAAGTTGGGTTCGAAGCCTGATGCTCTTCAAGCTGAGGGAAAGTCTGTCAGGTGAGATGCTCTACTCTTTTGTTTCTTTCTTGGTCTCTGCTTTTAGGTTCTTCTGTTGCAAAGTGTTTCCTGCATTTTTGTGTATGCGTTTGTTTTTTTGTTTTTGCGACAGCATGAAGGTAACGTGTTTTACCATTGCCTGTCACTGAAATAAAAACTAAGATGGGTTTGGTCACAGATTTAGTTGTGTGGAGTGAGGCACTGCTGGTTAGAGATTCATTCCTGAATGCCTTCAAAGGAAATCCATATTCTTTGTCTGCATAACCACTAAAATAATGTCAATATTCTATTCCTGGTAACTGTAAAAGCAGAGAGAGAGAGAGAGAGAGAGAGAGAGAGAGATTGATTGGGAACTATTGAATGGAGGTGGTCCAGCCTTCGAGCTATGAATTACTTGATGAGCATGTGGTCCGACTATGGTGAAAGTGGGATCAAGTACTCAGCATTTGGAATCATGGCAGGATGCAAAGCCTATTTAAAACAATATTTTTAGTTATATTATAAAAATTGTTATCACCTTGGGTATAGATAAAGTTAGAGAATTTCTTTTGTGGATGGAATTTTCCAAGGAGATTATAGGTTGGTGGATTTTCAGCCTGTGGTATATGTATCACCACCTTGTCATCTGTCATGCATGTGGGGGGGTATGTATTCAACTAAGAAGAATCATGTTTGGTTAGTTAATATTAATTTGGATCTGCATGTAGTTAGTCATTTTGCTAGGAATTTTTAATATATTAAATTTTATGCTCTGCAAATAGAGGTTTCTTTGTGTCTGAGACAATTAATATTGCAAGACATCCCAATCCCTCAAGAGCACAGATTCCTAATGTTTAAACTTCTGGCAAATAGTATGTAAAGAGGGTTGTTTTTTTATTTTTTTTCTTCTTTGGGGGGACATGTGATAAAGTTTTGCCTTTGGAGCTGTCTGATTGCTGCCATGATGTAAAATATAACGTATTTTTGTCACGTTATGTGATAGTATCCATGTGAATGTGATGTGCATCTTAATTACATATCATGGCCGAAGGTTTTTGACTTCCTGCCTTTATTTTGGTTTCTTATTCAGTTATAATTTTGCGATGTTGTGTCATTAATCTTGCATTCATATATTGCATGTGGCTTAGTTATAGTTAAATGTAAAAGAATACGTTGTGTATTGATCTGTGTCAAGGAGTTACAATATATAGAGACCCTAATTGGCTTAAGTGTAAGGCCCAAACCTAATCCAAACCTAATCCTAATACAGTCAGAATACAGTCAGACTATTTACGGATAAGACAGAATCCAATCATATCTAATCAAATCTAATCATATCATATCTAATATTCTAACACTCCCCCTCAAGCTGGTGCGTATATATTATGAGCACCAAGCTTGTTACAAATGTATTCAACCCGAGGACCTCTAAGAGCTTTAGTGAAAACATCTGCTAGTTGATTAGACGAGTTGACAAAAGCTGTCTTGATTTCTCCTGACTGAATCTTTTCCCGAATGAAGTGACAATCAATCTCTATATGTTTGGTCCTCTCATGAAAAACAGGATTAGAGGATATATGTAGCGCAGCTTGATTATCACAGATGAGTGTCATGGGTTGTTTCTGTTCACAAAGATGAAGCTCCTGAATCAACTGCTTTAACCAGATCAACTCACAGGTAGTATTTGCCATTGCACGATACTCAGCTTCTGCACTAAATCGGGAAACAACAGGTTGTTTCTTGCTTTTCCATGAGATTAAGTTTCCTCCGAAGAAGACACAATAACCAGAAGTAGAGCGTCTGTCCGAGGGTGATCCTGCCCAATCGGCATCTGAGTAACCACAAATTTCTGTATTTCTCTGATCCGAATACAACAAACCTTTTCCTGGTGCTCCTTTGATGTATCGGAGGATCCTCACAGCAGCATCCCAATGTGAATCACAAGGGGAATCAAGGAACTGACTGGCCGTACTGACAACGAAAGAAATATCTGGCCTAGTCACAGTAAGATAATTGAGCTTCCCAATTAGCCTCCGATAACGTCCAAGATCAGATAACGGCTCCCCCTGTCCGGGTAATAACTCGACATTAGGATCCATAGGTGTATCAACTGGTTTACTCCCCAACATACCAGTTTCTTCTAGGATATCCAAGGCATATTTCCTTTGACAGATAGAAATGCCCTGTCTTGATTGCGCCACCTCAATTCCCAAGAAGTAACGCAGCTTCCCAAGGTCCTTTGTTTGAAATGTACTAAACAAATGTTGTTTTAACTGACGAATTCCGTCTTGATCACTTCCGGTGAGAATGATGTCGTCAACATAGACTAACAAATAGATACACTTATCAGGAGATGTAATCCTATAAAACACAGAATGGTCAACTTTACTGCGGATTAAGCCAAACGCCTGAACAGCAGAACTGAAACGACTGAACCATGCTCGAGGAGACTGCTTGAGACCATATAAGGATTTCCGAAGACGACACACCTTTCCAGACTCCCCCTGAGCAACAAAACCAGGTGGTTGCTCCATGTAAACTTCTTCTTGTAAATCACCATGAAGAAAGGCATTTTTGATGTCAAGTTGAAGGAGTGGCCAGTGACGAACAGTAGCAAGGGCAAGAAAGAGGCGGACTGACGCCATCTTAGCGACCGGAGAAAATGTATCGCTATAATCAAGGCCAAAGATTTGAGTAAAACCCTTGGCAACTAAACGTGCCTTGAGACAATCAATATGGCCATCAGGTCCAACTTTCACAGTAAAAACCCAGCGACAACCAACTATAGACTTCTCTGGAGGAGCAGAAACAAGGTCCCAAGTGCCATTGGAATGAAGTGCAGTCATCTCATCAAGCATTGCTTGGCGCCACCTTGGATGGGAAAGTGCTTCACCTGTGGTCTTAGGAATAGGAATAGAGGAAAGACTAGAAACAAAGGTGAAATGAGGTGAAGAAAGACGGTCATAACTCAAAAAGGTATAAAGAGGATAAGGGTTACGCGTAGTGCGTGTACCTTTTCTTTGAGCAATGGGAAGAGTCTCTGATGAAGGATCCAGAGGGGAAGAAGCAACAGCAGTGGGCGATGAGTCAGCAAGAGTCGAGTCGACAGGAGGCACAGTTTTGCGACGCTGATAGGTGAGAAGTGGACGGTCCTCAGGTATAGAAGCAATAGGTTGCTCATCTGGAATAGAAGCACCTGCAGCTGGCAAAGACAAGTCAAGAAAAGGGACAGGAAGTACATGATCAACCTGTGACATCTGAGATGGGATAGAATTAAAGGGTTTTTGATCAAGAAAAGTGATATCAGCGGAAACTAAGTAACGCTTAAGGTCGGGAGAATAACAACGATAACCCTTTTGAAGACGAGAATAACCAAGAAAGATACACTGAAAGGCTTTGGATGTTAACTTATCCTTACCAGGAGTGAGATCATGAACAAAACAAGTACAACCAAAAACATGTGGAGTTAGAGGATAAAGAGGAACATCTGGAAGCAATAGATTATGAGGAATGTCATTGTGGAGCACAGATGAAGGCATGCGATTGATGAGAAAACAAGAGATGAGTACAACATCTGCCCAGAAGTGAAGAGGAACCTGCATATGAATAAGAAGGGTACGAGCAGTTTCAATGAGATGTCTGTTTTTACGTTCAGCCACCCCATTTTGTTGTGGAGTGTGAGGACAAGTAGTTTGATGTAAAGTACCTTGTGTGGCCAAGAAATTAGAAAAATCAATAGAAACATATTCCTTAGCATTATCACTACGTAGAATACGAATAGAAACACCAAATTGAGTATGGATCTCAGTAGAAAACTTTTTATAAATGGAAAATAACTCAGAACGATTTTTCATTAAATAGGTCCAAGTGCAACGGGAAAAATCATCAATAAAGGTAACGAAATACCGAAAACCTAAGACAGACAAGGTACGACTTGGACCCCAGATATCTGAATGAACAAGAGAGAAAGGGGCATCAGCTCGTTTATTGACTCGACTGGCAAAAGAGGAGCGTGTATGCTTCCCTTGTTGACATGACACACAATCTAAAGACTGAAGACCGGACAAAAGAGGAACCATTTTCTGCAACTTTGAAAGACTTGGATGACCAAGGCGACTGTGGATAAGTTGTGGAGATTCTGTGAGAGAGCATGCTACTGAAGGACGAGGCACATCCAGATAATAAAGCCCCCGTGACTCACGACCCACTCTAATCATTTTCCCCGTACCCGGATCCTGCACAGAAACAGAATGGTTAGAGAAAGTAATGGTGCAAGTGAGGGAGTGGATCAACTTACTAATAGAAATTAAGTTATAAGGGATGCCAGGAATGTAATAGACAGATGTCAGGGCCAAGGTAGAGGTCGGACGAGCTTGTCCAATCCCACAAACTGGGGCTTTGGTTCCATCCGCAAGGGTAAAAGACGGTAAATGATCAGAATAAGTAAGAGATGTAAAGAGTTCCTTATTACCACAGAGATGATCGGTAGCACCGGAGTCAAATATCCAAGTGCCAAGTGATGTAGAATGAGAAACACAAGCAACGGGATTACCAGTATAAGGCTGAGACTGAGGAGAAGCCTTCCTGAGAGGGGTTTGGAGTGCAGCGCAGTCCGAACCTGAACCAAATGATGCTTTGTCTGACTGAGCTATATTTGCAACAATAGAAGGAGAGTTAACCTCCGAGAGATCAGGAGATGCTGCTGCCATTTAAAGATAAAATATAAAAGCCGTAAACGAAGGCAAACGATATCCAATCAAGAAGAACCACGCGTTTAAGGTCAGACCCACAGAGAAACAATCACAGATCCAGAAAGGGGAGGAGAAGGCGAGCTTCTCTGTCCAAGACCGGTCGGAAAAAGCCGCCGGAATAGTGCTCACGCGCCGGCAGAAGGTGGCGCGTGAAGCCCACGCGCAGTGAAGACAGGTGGCGCGTGACGGCGCGTGGGAGATGCGTTGCTGACCGGACCACCACAGACCTGGTCGCCGGGAAGAAAGGGTCCTGATCGCGTGAAGTTTGGTCGGAAAAGTCGCCGGAAAAAGTCTCCGGTTGCCTGAACAGTGATTCTGACGGCGGGCGGTGGTTCCGGTGGCCGTCGGAGGTGCTGACGCGTTTGGAAAAATCACTCAGAGGCTGTTTACAGCCCTAGAAGGCTTGCCGGAAGGATGCACGGCAAGAAAGAGGACTCCTAAGCAGTGGGCTTAGGTTTTTAAAGCAAAAAAAAAAGGTTTCTGAGCAGAAGCGAGGGTTCCTAGAACGAAAGAGCTCTGATACAAAGTTAAATGTAAAAGAATACGTTGTGTATTGATCTGTGTCAAGGAGTTACAATATATAGAGACCCTAATTGGCTTAAGTGTAAGGCCCAAACCTAATCCAGACCTAATCCTAATACAGTCAGAATACAGTCAGACTATTTACGGATAAGACAGAATCCAATCATATCTAATCAAATCTAATCATATCATATCTAATATTCTAACAGTTATAATTTGAGGGTGAGGAGTCAGTTATCGCTTCTTATCATGTTTTTTTCCCAAGTGTCCCTTTAAGCAATTCATTTCCAATTTATGCAGGTATGTATCATCTGAATTGGCCACAGATATTATCGTAACTGTTGGTGAAGTTAAGTTTTACCTTCACAAGGTATGTTCTTTTTCAGCATCTTTGTTTTATTTTCATACTAAATAAGAAAACTGATATCATTGTGTCAGCGTTAGTTACACTAATATCCTTCTTGTTTGGAGAATTAGACAACTTTATTTTAAGGGGACTTTGTGTATGGTCCCAATATAGAAGTAAGAGAAGTATATTTAATTTCTTTTTAAAAAAGGGGGTCAAAGTGTATGAATAGTACATAAACTAAGGGAGAAAAGTGTAATTTGCCAAACAAGAAAGGTGTAAGTGTAATTAGTGCTAACCTCAGCTGAGGTTAGTGTAATTATCCCTTTAATTTAATTAATCAGCTGGGGGCATGATAGTTATGTTGCGAAATTTTTGTTGTCCATTATATAACTCGCAAGTTATAGTTATTTTGGAAATATTTTGTCACACAACAACACCATCTCATACAATTTAATATCTTAATTCTTAGTCTTTTGACTCTTTTCCCTTATACGGAATTCATAGATTAGAAATTTTGAATTTGGCAATAATACTACTGCCGTGTGTATTATACTCTGTGCATTGTGTTTGCATTTCTTTTTCTAATCTGTTTTAAGGGAGAACTAGCTTTTTGCTTTCTCCTTTTGTTGTTTATTAATGTTGAGTGTTTATGATTTGCAGTTTCCTCTGCTCTCCAAGAGCAACCAATTACAAAAGTTGGTAACGAAGGCTAATGAAGAAAATTCTGATGAAATTTACTTGGATAATTTCCCTGGTGGGCCCAAGGCTTTTGAAATATGTGCAAAGTTCTGCTATGGAATGACTGTTACTCTTAATGCTTACAATGTTGTGGCTGCTCGTTGTGCAGCTGAGTATCTTGAGATGACTGAGGATATTGATAGGGGAAACTTAATTTTTAAAATTGAGGTGTTTCTTAACTCAAGTATCTTTCGTAGCTGGAAGGATTCTATAATTGTTCTCCAGACTACAAAATCTCTTCTGCCATGGTCTGAGGATCTAAAGATCATTGGGAGATGCATAGATTCCATAGCTTCTAAAACTTCTGTAGACCCAGTGCACATCACTTGGTCTTACACTTATAACCGGAAATTAGCAGAGCTTGATAAAATTGTTGAGGACAAGATGACACCGCAACAGAAAATTGAGCCTGTTCCTAAGGATTGGTGGGTCGAAGATATATGTGAGCTGGACATTGATCTTTATAAACGGGTAATGATTACTGTGAAATCGAAAGGAAGAATGGACGGTGTTGTGATTGGGGAGGCACTAAAAATCTATGCGGTAAGATGGTTGCCTGATTCTGTTGATGCATTGGTTTCTGATGCCCATGCCTGGAGGAACAAATCACTGGTAGAAACAATTGTCTGCTTATTGCCATGTGATAGTGGCATAGGTTGTTCATGTATTTTCTTGCTGAAGCTGTTGAAAGTGGCCATATTAGTTGAAGCTGACGAGTCATCAAGAGAAGAATTGATGAAGAGCATCAGCCTAAAATTACATGAAGCTTCTGTAAAAGATTTACTGATTCCAGCAAGGTCTCCTCAGATTACTATGTATGATGTTGATTTGGTGCAAGATATTTTGAATCGATACATGGTGAACAAAAAGGACAGCTGTGATATGGTGGCTGGGGAGAAGAAAGATAAAGTAAATGATGAATGTATTTTGGGGCACAGGTCTTTATTGAATGTTGGCAAGTTGGTGGATGGTTATCTTGGAGAAATTGCACATGATCCAAATCTTAGCCTCTCTAGTTTTGTTGATTTGTCACAGTCGATTCCGGAGTTTGCTAGACCAAATCATGATGGTCTGTACAGAGCTATAGACATCTACTTGAAGGTAAGATTTTGTAGACATGAATTAAACTATCATCCATGATAAAATTTGAATTGACTTGATCGACACTAAAAGAGTTTTTGCATTGCTTCTATCCTTATTTCCCTGGAGAAAATGTTTTTACTTATTTGATTGATTAGTTTTATGACTTATTTTTATGATCCTTGAGCTAATTATTATACAAATATTTAAAATCTTACTTCAGTGTATGAAGCTTTTTTATGCGGGAGCAATGCTTGCAGAAGTGCTAGCAAGTAACATTTCAAAACTCTTTAGCAATTTTCTACTGCTGCTAATAACGTTAATGTGTATACTTTTAAAGACAAAGTAATAACAATCATGTAATGGGTAAATGAGGAGAAGAAGGCTTAAGGCTTATTTTGCACATGCAGCCTTAACTAACAGATGATATTTTAGTATTCACTATAGAGTCTTTCATTTTCAGGAGCACCCAAGTTTGACAAAAGCTGAAAGGAAGAAGATATGTGGAGTGATGGATGTGAAGAAATTGACAGTGGATGCGTCGATGCATGCTGCACAGAATGAACGCCTTCCACTTCGAGTTGTAGTGCAGGTTCTCTATTTTGAGCAGCTTAGAGCTTCTGCCAACACACGAGCACTAAGTAACAATTCACGTGGTCCTTCGTGCACTCTGATGAATGGAGATGTGGAATGTGAGAAAGCTGAGGGAGAGAGCTGCCAATCCCTCAACAATCAAATGACTCACTTGAATATTAAAGACAAAGAGTTTCATAAGAATGGAAAGTTGAACAAGAAGAATAGCAAAAACAGCAGAAGTGGCATGCAGTTGCTGCCATCAAGGTCAAGGAGAATCTTTGATAAGTTATGGATTGTGGGTAATAAAGGACAAGGAGAGAATAGGAGCTCAGAGACTTCAGGGAGTTCTAATAGCCCAACTTCTGTAGTTCATGGAGATACCAAATCATCTGGTTCATCCTTAAGACACCAGAGGCATTCTATCTCTTAGGGGTGTTCATAGAGTATTTTAACAGGTGAAGGAGATTCAAATTGCTGTGAAGTGTAAAGTGGTAGGATTTTAATCTTGTATTTGTACTGATATGCATGCACAGAATCAGGAAAAAGGTCTCTCTGACTAGCATTGCTGAAAAATGTAATGACATTTTATATCATTCTGGCTAGTGTAAGATTGTCCATCCTACAGAAATCTTCATTGGGGTTAGGGATCTCTGTGTTTTATTCTGTGTTGCCCCTTGTATAGAATCATGATCTTTAATTACAGGTAATGATCTATGGCTTTTCCTACGTTTTTTTTTTCTTTTGGGGAGTGGGTACTTTCATGTGTTAATTATTATGATTATGTCATGTCAGAGAATCATAATCATATAAAGGTGGATCAATGGTGATAAAAAAGGAGAAAATAAAATAAAATGGGGATAGGTAGTAACTACCCATTTCTATATTTTTTCTCTTTTCCTTTAAGATTTTCTCACATGATCATGTTAATTAAAATATGAGATGATTCATTTTTAAGTCTGGATCAGGTTTTGGTATGTTTATCTTGAAAGAGTTTGTTTGATTTTAATATTTGGTAGAATTGAACTTGTGAAATTTGATGCTTGAAAAAAATTGATTTTGAGGATTAATATTAAAAAAATTTAGATTGAGATTATTATATTTTTTTGGTACATAGGGAGGGTCGAGCACCGGGAAATTATTATTTTGGAAGTATATAATTAAAAATTAAGATTGATAATATCAGGAGAGTTCTATCTTGGCCGGAGAAACCTTTTTTTATTTATTTTTTATTTTGAAGAAAATACAAAAAAAGTAATCACGTTGACACTAAACATTACAATTGATTTTCGTATGGGTTAATTTATTGACTTTAACGATATTGCTAATTTTTATAGCAGATGTAGATAAGTTTTAACAGCTTTTGCATTTTTTAAATGATATTTACATGTAATTGTTATATTTGCATTTTATTAAATTTTCCGCGTGGGGATAAGGCTAGTAGTAGTCGTCTTAGCAATGGGAACTCTTCAAGTTCAAAGTTGATATGTTTGGAAGCAGCAATTGAGTTGAGAGAAATTATTCTTTTGAGTATGTATTTTGTTTTATCTGAGTTTTTTTAGAAGTAAAAAAATAAGAAATTATTATGTATTTTTTTTTTTGTAAATTATATATGTACATGTTTTAAAATGTTTCAAATTATAAGAATAATAAATCAACTCTGGTACATTTCTCTCCAAAAGTCCAATTTCTTTTAACTTACGATTAAAAAAAGGTGTAAATATTTTTTAATAAGTTTAAGGTTAAATTATTTAGAGGAGGTTATAACTTAGGGAAAAAAGTATCTAATGTTACTTTAGGTAATTTTGTCTAATATTTATCGAAACGACATCGTTTTGGGGTTGGAAAATTAAAAAATTAGAATGATAAAGACTATTATAACCCTGAAATAAATTAAAATTACAAAAATATCATAATTTTCATCTCAAAACGAAGTCGTTTTGATGACATTAAATAAAGTTATCTGAAGTAACTTTAGAAAAAATAAACTCTTATACTTATTATATTTATTTTTTCTTACTGTCTTTTATTATCAAATCTTAATCATTGATTTTCGTCAATCTAACTATTATAATTTATTGCGGTCAGATTTATTAATTAATTATTGACTCAATAAATTATAACTATTAGACTGACAAAAATCAACGGTTAAGATTTTGTAGTAAGAAAAAAAAAGGTAGTAAGTATAACCTCTCCCAAATTATTTAAAATATTAAATTATTGCTATCGATAAAATTGTAATAGAGAAGGAAATAAATTGTAAAAAAAAATATACTTCTGTGTACGATATCCAAAAAAGTAAAATAAATAAGAGAATTTTATTTTTGTTTGGGCCAGACAAGGAAAGCGTCGTAGACCCAACAAACCCTAAGGGTGATTCGGGTTACAAATGCGGGCCTTAAAAACCCATTCGGACCCAAGTTTGTTCCCGAGGGAAAGCGTTGTTCAATTTCAGTGTTGAGCTTCATTTCAGGGTGCATTACAAACATCAAACACCTTCCCTGCAAGCAAAATCTGTGAAAACTAGAAACTAGAAAGATAATCGAAAATGCAGAGATTCAAATCTCTGCTACCACAAAGTAGGTTCTCATTTCGAACGCTTTGCTCTTATCGTCGAGCTTTCACTGCTCAACCAAATTATGTGGAGCACGACGATGATGATCCACAGCAACAGGTTACTCTTCTTGTGCTTTATATATATATATATATATATATATATATATATATATATATATATATATATTTCAATTGATAATTGTGTTATTTGATTTTAGATTTTAGTTGAAGGAAGAGCAAAATCGAGAGCAGCTATTCTCAACAGGCCATCATCTCTGAACGCACTCACTACTTCAATGGTACGGCGTTCCTCCTTGTTCATTGCGCGTTTTGAGTTCATTCGCTTGAGGTAAACGCCAAGTCGTTTTCGATTTCTTTAGGTTGCTCGGTTGAAGAGGCTGTACGATTCCTGGGAAGAAAACTCTGATATTGGCTTTGTTTTGATGAAGGTATCTTGTCACTGAAATAAGGAACATAAAGCTGTTATAATTCATATTTATTTTCGTGGATAATTATAATGATCTCCTTTGGGATAATTCAATGTAATTGTTCCTTATTATTTTTAATACCTTGTGGTTTTATATTTTTTGTATTATGTTCATAGATGTTGGTTATTGTTTTGAGTGTGAATTGCTATCTTGATTGTTGAATGTTTTGAAGGGTAGTGGCAGAGCTTTCTGTTCTGGTGGAGATGTTGTTAGGTTGTATCACTCACTCAATGAAGGTGGGTTGTGTTTTAATATTTTATCAATTAGTAACTTCGTTATCTTTTTACTTTTAATTTTTCAAGTGGATACGCTGACTTCATTCAAACAAGTGTTAAGTAATTTATCCAATTACCATTTGTAACTTTTGTTATCTTTTACAGACCATAAGTTTACCAACATGCGCATTCCCTTTTTTTGTTGTCGATAAAACATATTGCTTTCCCTTTTGAATTTGCATATGTCATCTTCCAAGTGCTATCTAACACAACAGCTCATATAGTGGCTTTCTAAAATCTTCTTTGTTTATAGGGTTACTGTGCATTTAATTGAGTTGATTCCTACAGAAGTGAAGGTGGAAAGTCTATTTTTATGTTTATCTTTCAATTCTTTGGATGAAATAAAATCAAGGGCTGTTTGTTAGGTCTCATTTTCATCTAAATCATGCAGGACATGACATTATTTGTTTTATCAGCAGCTTCTAGCAGTAAATATTCTTTCCAATAGGATAGTTTCCCTTTATTCTTGTGCTGTGGTTTATTTAAGGTATTTGTTTGTCAGATATGCAGAGGGATTGGATCACTCTTCTAGGCTGATGCTTTCTATATCTCTTTTCATTTTTACTTTTACTGCTAGGAGAGTTTCTCATCCTCCTTTCTATGTTTTTTTTTTTTATTTTTTTTCTCTTTTCATAAACTCTCCGTTTATCCTAAAATAAAAGAACAAACTAAACATAGTTATCCTGAATCACATTCAGAATTTGAATCCTACTGCAAGGTGGTGGGGGGAGGTTGAAGTTCTTTTATTGGTTGGACCCTAATTTGGATATAAAGTATTACTGAAGATATGCTTATTTTTTAGGAATTATGATCAGATGTGTAGTAGATTAAGACAGTTTATGTTTGGACCATGATCTGTAATTTGTTCTTAGTTCGGTGTCCAAATTTTTTCATTTGATTCATCAGAGGCGAATTTTATGTTCGTGGCATTCTAACTAGTTAAATGATGATTGTTAAGATGTTTCTACATTTATGACGTTTTTCTGTTTATTACTAGCAGGAAATGCTGAAGAAGCTGAACAGTTTTTCAAAACATTATATTCGTTTGTATATCTTCAAGGGACATATCTTAAACCACATGTAAGTATTGAATCATTGCCAAGAGTTTTGTTTGAGATATTGAGTACTTTGGATTGTCGAAATGGTATGTACCAGGCTGAGGCTAGTCAATCGTGCGATAGCGGGGCTATAGGGCTGTCATGTAATGCCATGACAGGTGCCGTGCAGTTTATCAGTATATTGATGATACCTCTATAGGCAAGAGTGAAATTATATAGCATTATATTACACATGAAATCCATGAATGAAAAAAAAGGGGAAAAAAGAGAAGATATTTTGAAGAGTCAGAGTTGAACTTTTATTAAAATAAATCTTTGTGTAAGTTTTAAAATAAGATGAAACTTAAAATGATTTAAACTATTTGTGTAGTATTTAAAGAAACTAACAAGATGATTAGGCTAGTAAGACTATTGCTTATGTGCATATACTGTATTCTTATGAATGCTATAGCCACATAACGAATCCCAATAGATCTCTCTTTTATTTGACTGTGCTTTTTTTTACCTTCAATTTTTTGGAACTGTTATGAAGATTTTATGAGCATTTATGCAGGTTGCTATTTTGGATGGAATAACAATGGGATGTGGATCTGGAATTTCTCTTCCAGGGATGTTCAGTGTGGTGACTGATAAAACTGTATGTGATTCTTCAGATACTCATTGAATTTAGGCTTAGTAAATCATTTTTTATGTTCAGTAAATGCAGCCAACTAAATCTTTTTCTGTTTGAACTTTGCAGATTTTTTCTCACCCAGAGGCTCAAATAGGTTTCCACCCTGATGCAGGTGCTTCGTATTTGTTGTCTCATCTACCTGGCCACTTAGGTAATATATGTTTTGCATGCTATTTGAGAGCTAGACTCCTGCATAACACTTTTGATTCTCTTCTTATTGAAAGCTCAATCTTTTTTAAAATGTATTAGAAAGGTATCATCTTTTCAAAATACCGAGAACATAAATCATGAACTTATGGCTATTCAATCATCTATAAGATAACTACCCAAAAAATTCGAAGATATTTTCTGAAAATTTTCATTTTGTCTAAATGAGCCCAAAACTGCACTGTGATTGAAACTTCCAAACCTTCTATTCACTCCTTCTGCTAAACTTGCAAGTTGCAATGTACGCACTCCAACAGTCGACAAGAGCAGATTTCATCACCAGATGAATACTGTGGAAATAAGAAATTAATACCAAAACTCTTGTTTAGTTTTACACTAATAAGAAGATAGTTGGATGTTCCATATTAACAATAACAAGACCCTTTCTCAATTTTATTATAACTGTTAGAACATGAAGGCTGCTACCAAAAATGAACTTTTAGCTACATTCTTCTAGGGCAAATTAATTCCTTGAGGCATTGATACCTTGTAAATCCAAGTGGAAAACTCTCAACTCTGAAATGAAAATATTTTTATATTTAGGCATTTAGCTCGCTGCCAACAAATCCCATTGTTAATTCATATGGCTGATCTGAAACCAATCCTTTAAGGTCTGCAATTCCTCATCATGCTATAAGTGATGGAAACAAATTGGCCAACTTTGCAATTCTTACCTAAAATTCACATAAATCTTGCCACTCAAGCATCCTTTAATTTTTTTGCAGTCTCCTCATGGTGTAAAATGCCAAATTAACCTTAACTTTCCTCCCATCCACAACCTTAAATGATCCAAATTTCGAAGTAGAATTCTGGCCTTCTGTGATGTACCTCTAAGGTTGCCTTACCTTCAGCAACTCAACCCCCGGTATAGTTCGATATTGGCCATTGCTCCTTAACAAAAATAGTTTCTACTAAATATTTATACAACTATTCACTCCCAAGAGCAGTGTGGATATTCATGACTTAATTATTGTTTCACACTTGTACTAATAGTTTCCATACTAAACCAGAAAATGATTCACAGAAGTTTATTTGTTTTATATTATGCTATGCAGGGGAATATTTGGCCCTTACAGGAGATAAGCTTAATGGTGTAGAAATGATTGCGTGCCGTCTTGCTACTCATTATTCACTAAATGCAGTATGTTTTTCTCTTTGCTTTTGTGCTGCTTTGTTCTGTATTTGTTACCTAGTTTTCCTTTGCTTATTTGATTTGGCTTCCCCTGACAGAGGCTTGCTTGGCTTGAAGAACGCCTTGGTAAACTGATAACAGACGATCCTTCTGTTGTGGAGTCATCCCTAGCACAGTATGGTGATCTTGTTTATCCAGACAGAAGCAGTGTCCTTCACAAGTAATGTTGCATCATCACGTCCATATTTCCTTTTTGGTCTATGACTTCTTTTGTCTAAGTTTTTTTAAGTCATGGTTTCGATATAGCTCAGTAGTGGGTCCAGAAATTTCTCTTAAATTTATAGCTGAAATCTACTCTCTTAAATTTTATTGCTAATTCTCTATCGTGATAGAACTGGAAGAATGAAAATTCTAAAAAAATGCAATACACTTACAGTGAATAAACACATGCTAGTGGTTATATTTCTTCTTAAAATATGTCTGATGAAATCCTCTAGATTATTTTTTTAAATTATTCGGCTTCTGATATGAGGTTATTCTTAAAAGTATTGGATAGTGAAAAATACCTCAACAACTTCCGTGCACTTTGATTAAGTGTTTGTTATATTGGGGACAAATGTACCATATATCACCTTTGTACTTCCAGATGTGGTTACAGATGGATTCACTATTTACTGACATACGCTATCTGTGCCTTTTTTTATTTATTTTTAATATTGCTGTTGCATGAATTGCTCTATGCTTGTGCCGAAATGTCTATCCGTCCTTCATCACCTATAGGCTGGAATTATATATGAATATGGAGTGGCCTTTTTTCCCCTCCCTTTAACCTTCCTTTTTAACACCTACAGCTGTTGCTCTGACTAAAATCAAAGTAGTGAACAGAAAGAGCTCATCAATACTGAACTAACTCCCTCCATTGACAATTGGGCTTCCATTTCTTGTAAATTACCAAATCCTAAAAGCTTAAGCTGAGTAATGCATAGAGTTACATTTTTCTCTTGAAAATAAACCTGTTATTTGGTTTCATAGGTTGGTTCAATTGCATCATTTTCTGCTTCTCAGTGTTATGTTCTATTTTTGCCTCAGGATTGATACTATTGATAGATGTTTCAGCAACGATACAATGGAGGAAATTATTGACGCTTTGGTAAGCATTGTATTAAATCTTTTATACACGATCTCTGGTTAATCTGGATGGAGTTGAACAAAAAATTAACATATCTTAATGCACAATGAACTACAATTTTGGGATTTATGTGTAATTTATTGAATAGCTACTGCCTACCTGGTTTATCTTGGTCCTCTTGTTTTTTTTTACCTGCTGACAAGGCAAATTTCCTTGAAGTAGTCATTTGTATAAGGAACATTATTCAAAATTATTGGTAAATGATCAAAGAACAAAACTTGTATCATCTTTAGAAGTTGTGACCTTTTTTAGGAGTTCCTACTGAATATCATAAATCGTCTGTAGCCAAGACGTCAGCTCATCTCAAATCACCATAATATCAGCCAAAATGGGAGCAGCAGGTTCTTAGCTATGTATCAATCTCCAGTTGAGAGGGAGTGCTGACAACACCTCAGCTACATAAAAAATACAGTGAATAAAAAAGGCAAATGGACTAAACATTTCATTAGAAAAATAACATTTCAATTTTGATGATATCTTGATCCGCAATCTACTACAATTATGAGATTCTATGCTTAAAAGCTACTAGTATGTGGTGAAAATTAACTCACACTAGGCATTTTGATCAAGGAAGCTTATGCAAATTTTTTAGAAGGTGTAATGGGACCCTGCCAACCAAACAAAGAAACAAAACTATTGCAGACAAAAAAATTATTGAAGAGAAGTTTCTGTATATTGATATTGAATAATTTACATGAGTGAGTATTTATACAAGAAAAAATCGCTAAGAATGACTAAGCGATGACTAATCAATCCTAATCACAATCAATTCTAATCAATCACAATAAATCCTAATCAATCATAATCAATCCTAATTAATAGGAAATAAAAACGGAAACATGTTTGGATTCTGATTTTCTACACTCCCCCTCAAGTTGGGAGGTAAATATTGATCATTCCCAACTTGCCAATCAAGTCTTCGAATGCTGGACGGTGTAGGCCCTTGGTAAGGATATCTGCCGTTTGCTCTTTGGTTGGAACATATATCAAACGCACACTTCCATCATCTAATTTTTCTTTGATGAAGTGACGATCAACTTCCACGTGCTTTGTTCGATCATGATGCACAGGATTTTGAGCAATGCTAACAGCTGCCTTGTTGTCACAATATAGTTTTATTGGTAGGGAATATGAAATCTTCAACTCTTGAAGAAGTCTTCTCAACCAGATTCCTTCACAAACTCCATGAGATAAAGCTCGAAATTCTGCTTCAGCACTACTTCTTGCAACCACTGTTTGCTTTTTGCTTCTCCAAGTAACAAGATTTCCCCACACATAGGTGCAATAGCCTGAGGTAGATCTCCTGTCTACTGATGAGCCTGCCCAATCTGCATCAGTGTAGATTTCAATTGTCCTTTTATACCCCTTTTTAAAGAATAATCCTCTTCCTGGAGTATTTGAGGTATCTAAGCACCCTATAGACTGCACTAAGATGCTTCTCCTTGGGTGAGTGCATGAATTGACTAATCATACTCACCGCAAAGGCAATGTCAGGACGCGTATGAGATAAGTAGATTAGTTTACCAACCAATCGCTGATATTGTTCTTTATCCACCTCATTCCCATCTTCAATACCTAACTTGGTATTAGGTTCCACAGGTGTCTCAGTAGGTTTACACCCTAACATTCCTGTTTCCAACAAAAGATCTAGAACATATTTTTTTTGTGTTAGAGTGATGCCTGTTTTGCTCCTAGCAACTTCCATACCAAGGAAATATTTGAGAGTGCCAAGGTCTTTGAGTTCAAATTGAGCTGCTAGAAATTTCTTCAAGGTGTTCAATTCCTCAATATCATCACCTGTAAGAATTATATCATCTACGTATACAATAAGAATAACAATTTTACCATTCTTAGAGTGTTTGTGGAAGAGAGTATGATCAGTCTGTGCTTGAATGAAGCCTCTTCTTTTGACTGCTTGTGTGAATTTGTCGAACCATTCTCTGGGAGACTGTTTTAATCCATATAGAGACTTTTTTAGTTTACACACTGATCCATTTCCCTTTTCAAAACCAGGTGGAGGATCCATATAGACTTCTTCATGTAAGTCACCATTTAGGAATGCATTTTTCACATCTAACTGTTGCAGAGGCCAATCTAGATTGGCAGCAAGAGATAAGAGAACTCGGATGGTATTGACTTTAGCAACCGGAGCAAAAGTCTCATGATAATCTATCCCATGAGTCTGAGTGAAACCCTTTGCAACCAATCTTGCCTTGTATCTGTTGATGCTATTATCTGCATTGAATTTTATTGTAAACACCCATTTGCATCCTACTGCCTGTTTTCCTTTGGGTAGGGTCACTATCTCCCAAGTTCCATTTCTTTTTAAAGCATTCATTTCTTCAAAGACAGCATCCCTCCATTTTTGATCATTGAGAGCCTCATGTATATTTCTCGGTATCTTTGTACTATCCAACATAGTATTGAAAGCACGAAACCCTGGGGACAACTTTCCATATGAAATATGATTAGAAATAGGATGAGTAGTACAAGATCGAGTACCTTTTCTGAGAGCAATGGGCAAGTGTAGATCATTTTCACCATGACACTCAAGTATTGGGGTGCTGGAACTAGAACATGGTTCAGAATCCTAGCAGTGTAGAGGCTCTGGGTTATTCACACTTTGAGGAGTCTTTCGCCTGCTATAAACTTGTCCCCATTTTGAGGAGGCTCCTGATGGTGAGGATTTTGTAGCTCCCCCTGTTTCCAAAATTAGAGGTAATACCGTGGCATCAGTAGGTTCCCATGACTGATCTTCATCTACTCCTATCTCCCCCTGAAGAGAAGTCGAGGGGAAGAAAGGGTCATTTTCAGAAAAAGTGACATCCATAGAGACAAAGACCTTACGAAAAGAGGGTGAATAACATTTATAGCCACGTTGAGTAGGAGAATAACCAATAAAGACACACTGGAGAGACTTAGGATCAAGCTTAGACCGTTGATGGGAGGGAATATGGACAAATGCAACGCAACCAAATAACTTGAGAGGTAAGGAGGAGACACCTCGGAAGGAAGGGAATATACGAACAAGACTAGAAAGAGGAGACTGAAATTTCAGAATGCGAGATGGCATTCGATTTATCAGATACGAGGCAGTGAGAACTGCCTCTCCCCAAAGATATTTAGGAACACTCGTGGTAAACATAAGAGCCCGAGCAACTTCAAGGAGATGTCGGTTTTTTCTTTCTGCAACTCCGTTTTGTTGGGGTGTGTCAGGACACGAGCTTTGGTGAAGGATGCCATGTTGGGAAAGATATTCTCCAAGAATAGAGTTAAAATACTCTTTGCCATTATCTGTACGAAGAATTTGTATAGCAACTTGGAATTGGGTTTGAACCATGGCATGAAATTTTTTAAACACGGATGCAGCATCAGACTTATCCTTTAGAAGATACACCCAACAGACTCGAGAATGGTCATCAATGAAGGTAATGAACCATCGAGTACCTGAAATATTTTTAACACGGGCTGGACCCCATATGTCACTATGAATTAAGGAAAATGGGGAAGAGTCATGGTGAACTTTAGAAGGATAATGAGCACGAGTATGCTTGGCAAGTTGACAAATATCACAAGAAAACAAACTTGGACTTTTATGAATAAATAAGTTTGGCAACAACTTCTGAAGATAAATAAAATTTGGATGGCCTAGCCTACGATGCCACATCATAACATCATTACATGAATCAAAAGGAAACATAGAGTTTTTTTCTACGAAAACAGCTTCATGAGTCACATCCTCCTCAAAGTAGTAAAGTCCACCATCCTCTCTAGCACTGCCAATCATCCTCTCCGAGTCCTGTTCCTGAAAAACACAACCATGTGGAAAGAATTTAGCAAAGCAATGCAACTCAGAGGTGAGCTTGCTAATAGAAATGAGATTACAAGTCAGAGAAGGAACATAAAGAACTGATGTCAAAGTAATCAGCTCAGAAAGTTTAATGGTTCTGTGTCCCGCAATCTGGGAAAAACTGCCATCGGCGATCTTGACCCGAGAAGGTTCAGAATATGGAGTGTATGAACAAAACAAGCCAAGGTTACCTGTCATATGATCAGAGGCGATCTGACCTGATTTTGACTATCTATGGAAAGTTGTACCTTGGAACCTTAGGAGGTTGAGTCAAAAGTCTCTGAAGTTGTTCAAACTTAGTCTTGCTAAGAAAGACACCATCAGAGTAAGAGGAAGAGTGTTTTGAGGAAGCCATGAATAGAAAGAGAAGGGTTGACCGTTGATGAAAAATCAAGTTTTGTAAATTTTTGATCTGACCAGAAGGTCTGTGCAAGTCGCGGCAGAAAAAGACGTTGGGAAGGCGGCGCGTGGAGCTCACGCGCCGGAAACTGGCCGCGCGTGTGACGTTGCGTGGCGGCGCGTGCGGCGGTTGACGGCGATGGGTCCAGCGGCGGTCGACTCGTCGGATCCTTCTGAGTCGAATGGTCACCTCACTTTCTTGATCGGAGGTCAGTAGACTAGGTTTCTGTGTTGGACAGATTCAAGGAGGTGTTTAGGAGGTGTTTGACGGTGATGGAAGTGTTGGATGGTTATTTCAGATTTGAATTAGGGTAGGAACGAACCCGCTCTGATACCATATTGAAGAGAAGTTTCTGTATATTGATATTGAATAATTTACATGAGTGAGTATTTATACAAGAAAAAATCGCTAAGAATGACTAAGCGATCCTAATCACAATCAATTCTAATCAATCACAATAAATCCTAATCAATCATAATCAATCCTAATTAATAGGAAATAAAAACGGAAACATGTTTGGATTCTGATTTTCTACAAAAATAGGTAGGGAACTAAACATTTCTGATTTAGTTAGAAGAAACAGGTGACCAATATTGTTAGTGTTTTTCACTATCTGGTGCTTGACTACTCTACTCTTTGATAGTTTACCTTTTTTTCAAAATGAAATGTTACTCTGTTAGGAGGAGGAGGCAGCTGATTCTTATGACGAATGGTGTTCGACAACTCTTAGGAAAATAAGAGAAGCCTCCCCATTGAGTTTGAAAGTTATTTTACGATCTGTGAGTTGCATCTCCCTTGCATGTTTATCTATTTCCCATTCAAGATGCTATTTTCTTCTGCTTTAACCTCTGCTATTGAATTTAGATACGTGAAGGTAGATTTGAAACTCTTGATCAATGTCTTGTACGTGAGTACCGTATATCCCATCGCGGAATTTCTAAGCATGTCTCCTCTGATTTCTTTGAGGTAATGATCTTCTTGGTATCTTTTCCCTAAAGAACAACTTCAATTTGTTTTTATGATTTCACTTGACTTCTTTATGTAGGGTGTTCGGGCACGAATGGTTGATAAAGACTTTGCACCAAAGGTACCTATTTTGTTCTAGGAGTCTGTACATTTATGAACTCAGTAACATCCATTTTTTTTTTCTTTTCTCGGGATTTATCTAAACCATTTTATTACCAAATTTGCAGTGGGACCCACCTAGTTTAAAAGATGTATCAGAGGACATGGTTGAATACTATTTCTATCCGTTTAACGAAGTTGAGTCTGAACTGGTGCTGCCAACGGCATTGCGAGAACCTTACATGTGAAACAGACATACCTTCCATTAATGCTTATCTTTAGCAAGGGTAAGCCAAATAAGTTCTAATTTTGTTGTCAAAATTCGTGTATTGTAATTCTATGTTTTTTCTTTTTATTAAGTAAATTACATTTGCTTGAGATTTGTCAAAATGAAAATTCTAAACTTCTCATGAATTACACTTTTGATTATTTTTTCTTTAATTTAGTGATAACTAAATGGATAACTTTTTAGTCCTCTTGTAGTACATACTACAATCACTTAAATTATAATAAATAATTACGTATGAGAAATGAAGAATATGTCAAGAAAATGAGTATAAATGCAATTAGGTGAATACATATATGAGAGTTGTTATATTTACAATCTCTTTTCCCTTACAATCTCTTATAACCCTTTTTATGGATGTTAGATCAAAATCAAATAAGTGGTTATAAATTGATATGAAGTGAAAGCTGTTGATTTCATTTTAATTTAACAACTATAAAAGTGATTTTAAGAGGTTAGTAACCTCCCTCTACATATATTGTAAAAGTGAGTGCAGTATGTAATATCTGAGGACTAAAATTATCCCAACTCAACATTAATGAAAAAATCATTTTTTCTTAGTCAGCAGTATACTTTGTACATCAGCTAAAGTTTTTGAAGATTAATATTATGAACTTTTTTTGCAAAACCAAGGTGACTTTTTAATATCAAATTGAAAGTAATATAATTTGACAAATGTTATAAAGAGAAATATACTTATATTTCCATTTGCTTTAATTAAAAAAATAATTAATGTTTGTAAATTTTATATTTTTTTTCATTTTATTTCTTGGTGTTCTTAGTTTATCTCTTTCCATGGGAAATCTATACTTCTATTGATTTTCTCTATGACATATTCTCATACTACAGTATTGTTAATAAGGTTAACAAACTTCCGCGTATAAATGGTTATTTGCAAGAATTTCCCCGCCACAGAACGAAGGGGATAAGTTCTCCCTGTAGCAGCGAAGAAATTTGCCTTTGTTTAGTAACCGGGGGTGAGGGCAGGAATAGGGTCATGATCTCTATCCTGTAAATCTGTAATACCCTTTAAGTAAAAATACGAAACGCTCTGTACTTAAAAAATAAATAAATACGAAACGCTTAATTTATAAACACAAAATATGAAAAAGTGTATATATTAATAATTTAAGTTTGTAGGTATTTAGACAACTGTAAAATGATATTTGTACTGAAGATGTTATCACTTATGTTTTAAAATAAAAATGTGTAATTTTATATGACATTAATTGGACTTTTGTATTTAAACTAAGTTAACAACATATATTTACCGGAAAAAAAAAGTTAACAGCATATAATTTTAGTTGTGTAATTTCAAATTTTTGTATTGCTAGGTAAAGTTGTGGTTTTGTATGTCAGAATTCTTTCAATTTTTTGTTGTTATTTTAGAGTTTTCTTAATTTTATTAGGCAACCAGACAGCAGACGTCCTCTAGCATGAATCTTCATTTTAAAGCTGTTATTAGAGGTGAAAAACTTTATTACATTTATTGTGTTTCATGTTGTAGGAAAAGAATTTATCTTATACACATATATAAAAAGTATGTGAAACCCATCAAAACTCATATTTTATTACACTTATTTTTTACTCTTGATTAGTATTTTTAGGATTTATTTGAATAAAACAATGATGTTTTGAGTTAATTTACATTTTTAGTTTTTGATTGGGTTTAAATTATTTTCGTCAGAATTTTTCAGCTTTACGTTACTTCTGTATTTTGGCCATATCTTGGTCCACAGTTGTCGGATTGATTCCATTCTTGTTGGGTTTTTCAGATAACACAGAGGACTACAATTCTTATGCAGAGCTCGAAGCCCAATTCAGATTGGAAGCTAGTCGATTTCTTGCGCCAAGTCGGACACGTTTTGCTGAAGTTTTATTTTATTTTATTTATTTTATTTCGTATTTTAGACATATGGGCCGGTCAAAACTGAACCCTAACCCGCTTTGGGTAGGGGTATATGACGGCAGAGTAGGAAACATTGGATTCATTCTGAATTTTCGTATTTTGGGATCAAAGCACTTTCTCTGGAGCGTTCTTTGAGTTCTTCATTTTTTTTTTCTTCTTCTTCTTCTTTTTATTTTATTTTAATCATGTTTACCTTAGCCATGCGAGGCTAAGAACTTTTTAATCAACCTAAGGGTAACGGATTCCATGGATTAGTGTTGAGGGTCTGTGCTTTATTGTAAATCAATTTTGTTTCCCTTCCCAACTCAGATTGATATCGTGCGATCGTGGATATTCAATCTGAGGTTCGCGATTGCGATTATGGAAAGGGATTAATCATCAGATTTGATGATTAGATTGATTGACCCTATGACCTTAATCAAATGGGCTAATACTCTGCGATTGTAAGACATAGTTATAACATGAAAAATAGTTTTTTTTCTCTCTCCACGTCAGCTGAAGTGACTGAGGAAATAGAAAAAAAAGTAATTTTCCATATTATAACTATGTTTTACATGTAAGATATAGTGTCAAAAACTAAAAGGATACAACATTGTGTCCTTTAAAAGGACAAACCCTTTTTCCTACTTTTAAATGTGTTTATTTGATTTAATTGGGCCCATATTTTGAAATAGGTCAACTAATCAATTTTGTGATTAAGTTTAGAAGTTTTTCTTTTTTAAAATAATAGGAGTAAAAATAAATAACATATCTGATTAGAATAAAGTAGAAAAAAAATATACTGGATAACAAATAAAAAAGGTAAAAAAAAAATACTATACATGTTATTATTTGTTTGCATTTAGATGGTTTGTTGTTACTTTGTATTGAGTATTTGATTTTCTATTTAGATGGTGCTAGATTATAATTTTTACTTTAGTTATTATAATTAATTATAATAAGTAAAAAAAACAAGCAGGTGCCAAGATACCTGCTGGCTTGGACGTAGCTACGCCACTCGTAGCTAAGAGTCATACGAAACGAGATGAAGATAGTTATGGAGTTATGGACTTATGGTTGTTGTACACTTGTACTAGCTAAGACTAATTTATTTATAGTAAATCATTAGTTTTAAAATTATTGTTTCGGTTTTATAGAAATATTACGAAATTCATCAAATACACTTATTTTTTGAGAAATGTAATTATATTCGATTAAATTATTCTTATACTTCATTACTATTTTTCTTTTATTTCACTTAATATTAAGAGATAAAGATAAACTTTAAAATAAATATCTTCTTAATTTCTAAAATAAATAACAATTTAAAAAGAATTAAAAATTCTATAGTAATAATAACAATTTAAAAATACCTATTCTTTAGGATTTAATGTTTTTGATTTTCTGAGGAAAAAGTTTCTCTATCACCACTTATTTAAGAGTGAGTGGTAGCAGAAAAATTTTTTTTGCAATAAAAACAGAAATGTTTTTTTTCATTATTTTATTTTTATTATTATTATTATTTAACTTTCACATTGCATCGTAAACATTATTCTAGCATGCATAAGACTGCTTACTAGGTATTTTTTCAATTAATACTTCAAAATTTCCGTCGAGAATCTCAAGAGAAAATGATAAAAACACATCCAAGAGAGTCGTTTGCTAATCGTTATTAGAGTTGCGGAAACGGATAAAACTTTTTCTAAAAAAGATCTTTGAGAAATTGTTGTGGAAAGCTGAATCTAAGAAAAATTTTGATGGAAAGACCTTAAAATGTGTTGCTGATAAAAATGGTGAAAATTTAAGAAAACCGTATTCCTTTAAATATTAATATAAAATCGATTTTTCAAAATATTTTTGTACAGTTAACGAAATCCGAAAGTAGACGCTTGGGGCTTCGCGTGCATATAAAATAATAGTAAATCGGAGTTCATTTTCCCCTCGAAACATAACTCGTAAGTTGTCCGCAATCGTTAAAAATTCAGCATTTGATAAACGTTACGCAAAACATTTCAGATTTCTTAAAGCAGCCGCTGTTCATAAAAAGACTTAAAGCAGAAATAAGTCATAGTTTTACAGTCATCCAAAAATCATCAAGTACCACATAATACAGTCATCCCAAGCTTAAAACAGTCAACAGTGAATAAATCCAGACAACAGCAAAAATATAACAAAGTTCAACATCCAAGTCCTCAAATGCTTTTACGTCCTCCTGCAATTTAAAAATTGCAACCCCAAAGGGGTGAGAATAAACCTAGTAGTGTGGCAACAAAACCAAATGCAACAGTATTAACTAGGCACAAAATCATAAATAGTCACTTCAAACATTTAATCATTTTCATCATATATCATAACGCGTATATAACGCCCTTTTTCCTTTATGCTCATAGCACCGTCGTGCGCGTAGCATCACAGTGGGTATTCCTAATGGCTCCTATGAAGGTGATCCCAGTGTGGAACCTATGCGGACTGAAGCCAAGTGTCCCCTCTCCTGGTACCAGGCATGCCTATATGATGCATGCTCAGTCACATGTCCTCAATACAAATATATATATATTCAAGATGTCATGAATCAAGTATACATGACATGTTATGCAATCGCACCCAACAGAAAAATGTATTATGATGTAAAATGCATGCATATATCATATCATCCTTTCATATTCTTACCATTGGCTCATCATCATCATAACATACATAGAACAAATGTGAGCAACACATCACAATTCCATACACTAGCCAACAGTCACATTAGGTAATACCGCCTACAAATACCTTGGTGCTTTCAAATACTAACCAAATAGTAGCGTATAAGCCCAACGTTTTATGAATGTTGCGCACCTAGACATAAGCACACAAATCAGAATTCTGTTTTTTTTATGGAAATCTCCAAACACTTCTCACATTCATGTTTCTTTTATCCTTAATTTTTCCAAACTGTTTTATCTTATTTCTTTTCCTACTACTTTCTAACTTCCTAATATATTTTTCCTACGTTTCACATCACAAAAACAGAATCGTTTTTAAACTTTTCTTATGAAACGTTTTCTGATTACATCTAACCTTTTTATTAAAATTTATACAATGCCAAATCCCTAAGTTCCGCATGCATGCTATACAGTTTTCTCCATGCTTTAATCCTTACCCATTCTGATTTCACTTATAATTTCTAACGTGTAATCTTTGATAAATCAACCCATTCAGCTTCGGTTTTAGGCTTAAGGAGGTCCTCAACGTTTTATGCATAGCATTCATACTTTCCTACCTCAATTGTGCGCAAGGAAGTTTAATTAACATGCTGAATATCTAAGTAAAAGAGGCTCAAATCCAATCTAAGACCCATCAATACAGAATCGATTTTAAATTGATTAGAGCATCAAGATAATTTAGCCAAATCCTCTTATCCTGTAATTGGAGCGCCACTAGAGAATAACATGCTGTATATTTTAGTTAATAGAGAACCTAATTCCTAGCAAAAATTATTTAAGGCAGAACCGGTTTTATGAAGAACAAAACCTTAAGATAAGTTATTTCTAAGTTATTTTCCTAATGTTTTCCCAATTATGAACCCTAGAACACGGTAAGGCAGAATTGAATTTAAACAATAGTAAGAGTGTTACTTCCCTACCTACTTCTCGGTTGGACAGAGGAAAAGAAAAGAGGTTTTGGTACCTACCTCTTGACAACACACCAAAAGAACCGATTATGACAAAAGGGCAGTGATTCAATATCTTAGTCTCCCTTGAAACAACAAGCTCCACCCTAGACTCTTGGGAAGAACCTCACAGCGAGTAGTGAGAAGGAAGAAGTCGTATAGATACTTGGTGATTCCTCAAGTGTTCCACGGTTTTGATGCCAAAAAGAAAGGTGAAGGGGAATCTATTTCTATGGTTCAGTTTCAAAAAGTGTCGCAGCTTCAAGAAAGGATGTGACGGAATGGAATAAGAATGATACCCCAAACTTGGTTGAGGGCTGCTGCAAGATGTGAGTCACGGTTTGAGTATGAGGAAGGGCGAAATGGTTGGGTTTTTCAGAGCTACAAATGTTGTTTTCAATACTCAAAATTTCCCACCTAACTCTCCTACACTAACAGCGCACAAGGGTGAGGGTGTGCAGATTTAAGGGTTGCTTTAAAGACTACCTAAATCAGAAATTTTTCCAAGTCCAGCTTCTCTTTTCCAGCGCATGTGAGAGGAGATGAGGTTGCTGTATTTTTCCACCAATTGCCTCATGCAAACTGCATTCTCCTACTTTCATTGGATGCATGTCTTTAAGGCTGAGCAGAATTTGAATTAAGGCTGAATGAGGTTTGTTAAAGGCAGCAAGTAATGTCAGCCTTGGGCATCTACTATGCGCATGTGAGGAGGGAAGGAAAGTGGTTGACTAGAGTCATCTTTTAGGATTTAAATCAGAATTTTCTGATGCCTTTATTCTCTGCCTAGGCGTACATGTGGCTGATTAAAGAGATAAAGTTTGCTAGGTGGAATGACTACTCAATGGGCAGCTGCTCTATATTAAAGAAAAACTATTCTTTGACAATTTTGCTGATATGTCACTTTGTCATGAATCCTCCACTTTGGCAATTTTTATACAATAAGAAAAAGAAAAAGAAAAAGCAGGTGCCCTGGCTTGGATGCTAATAACACAGCATCTGTCAACTACCGAGCTTTACCCTACTCCACCTATTGGCAGGCCTTTGTGAACTTTGAGCCAACTGACGAGGCTCCAAGAATCTATCACTTCTAGTTGCATAACCCATGGCATCAGTCCTTCCATCTCTCCTGTCTTTATGTCTCTTCATATGACGATTTGGTCTTGGTCCACTTGACTTCATTTCCTTGTCAACTTCATAGACCAATGGTTGGATACCCTGAAGATCAGGCTCTGGAACATACCCAAAAGGCCGCTTGGATGGATCCATTCTTCTAAATGTTATTGATATCCTAATAAAAGTTTTAACAAAAAAAGAATACGGATCAATAATAAGTCATTGGTGTCAAAAGCCATGGATAGAAGAATATCATAAAAGTAAGTAAATACCTTCTCATAGGAACTGCAGGTACACAGTGTTTGGCTACATCAGCTCCATTTCCATTTAAGACAAGTACAGATCTAGACAAAAAGGACAAACTATAAGATTCTGAATGATAGAGGCAGATTGATGAAGATTTTAATCTAACTCGGTCTATAGTCATGAGCAAAAGTTGAAAAACTAAACAGAGTCTAGTGGATAAATCCAGATAAATACTTACCCGAGAGGTAGGGGAATAGTAAATGAACCATCAAATTCACCAGGGCCCACAATCTTCAAGTTTGACCCAAAAACTATATTGCACTCACTAAGAAATGAGACAGTGCAAAACGGTCGAAGAAAATCATGGCTATCTATATGTGGAGGTATACAGTCCCCTTCCTCATAGATATTCACAATGCAACTGTCTGGCACACAAGTAGGAGGGAGCACATGCCACTTAATGAGGCGTCGGATGATGACCTTAAACAGATCGGGTATGGGGTCCACCGTTACACGCGGAAGAATACCGGGCGGGTTACCATCTCTATCCTGTAAGCAGAAAATTAGATTTTAAGAGTTTCATCCCTTAACAAACTCATCAGCAATTATATTGCACCACCAAGCATTAAAGTTAACTTGTTTCCAAATAAAGAAACGATAAGTCAGCATGAAAGATGCACTAACCACTGCATAATTGTAACAGCAACCGAATTGGATAGTCTCACGTCCCTTGCCTCTCATCCATTTTTGAGGAGCCGTGAATGTCCGATCTGAAAAAGTTAAGAATTAACATCATATAGCCCCTCAGAACTAGCACCACCCAACACATTTACCAAATTATCAACATGATATAGTCAATTGGGAAAAAACAGAATGTTTTTAATGTTTTCATTATCTTATGATGCATAGTTAGCATATCTGCATATGCATAAGGCCCAACGGATGTAAAGTCTGAGCCCCACCAAGTTTATTCCTAAAGAAGAATAATTCTTTATTAGTTCCAAAGTCATGGCCTCACTAAGTTTTGGTCAGCCCTGAAAATTCTGGAAAGACATGAAAGTTACAGCTACATAAATTTGTTACTTCCCATGGCTAGTGTAGTCAAAGGCATCAAAAGAGATTGAGGCGAGGCACTAGTAGGGGTCAGTGCCTCTGGCTGGTTGAGGCACTGCCTCTTGATTGAGGCACATGCATGCCTTTTTGATTGAGGCGAGACACACTTTTAGCACCTCATAACTGTAAGAAACCCAAAAAAGCATAGCCACCTAACTTACAATTATGATGCAGAAGGGATAAAATCATAATTATCAATCTCGGATTGCGTAGCAGCCAACCCCAAAACCTCTAGCAGTATAGCCTCTATAGTGAAGTCCACATTATGTGATTAATTAGGGAATAAATACAAAACCATTATGTGATCATAATCATGGATTAAAGCACTAAATTCAGTCTACTACTATTCCCTGCATTAAATGCTCCTGTTACTTGCATGCTACCCTTTTATCCCTAGGACTTAAAATATTAGTAGCAAAAATCAAATCAATTCTTGATCAAAATATGATTATGAACAAAAAAGAAAGGTCGATTCATAATTATAGGCTAACAAAGTAAACAGAGACAAGAGACGAGTAATAGACTGTTAATATAGAATTTTAAACAAACCTGTAAAAAGACCATAAAGCCCATGAAAAATGGCTGTTGGAAATTTTAATCGAGGGTAAACTTGAAAAATCACGCCATTTCACTTGCACTGTGAAAGGCTGCAATTTGTCCACAATTGCAGCCGCAACATCTTGTTGCATTGCAGCACGACAAGTAGCGGCCACCGTCCACTACCGTCGTGGG